GTTCACTACTTCACTATCACTCATTTGGCCCAGGTACAATGACACCTCCACTTGGAAGACTTCCCAGCTTACTCTATATAGATAAATTTTCTCCTTCTCCTGAATTCTTAAATAACTTAACCAGTAGTTCTCTAATGGAAGAAAAAAATTTAATTCACTAGGCTGGCAGTCATCACAGTAGGCTGCTTTCACAACATTGTATCATTTGATCCTTACAACTATCTGTGAGATTAGCTACACAACTTTTGTTCTTTAATAAGGAAAATGAGGACTAAAGACATTAGGCAACTTTCCCAGGGTTGCATAGTTGGTATCAGTGGCAGAACATTACAGAACTGAGGAATTCTGGGAAAGACTTTGCACAGCAGGGAGTGCCACATAAAGGTCCCCATGGGTGCCTTTGAATAAAATGGCAACTTGATGACAGAAAGCCCTGTTTTCTTGACACTGAAAAATGTCTTCCTATATGTTCGTGACTTACTTCCTTCTTGCCTTTCACTACATTGTACCCTTAACCATAATAGCAATGGACCTTTTAGAAGTTCCTTACACATGGCTACCCCTGATAGGACAGCTATTATACCTGCCCTACAAAATTCTGTCATGAGGCACACTTGAAGTAAAACTCCATTTTTACTACAGGAAGTATCCTCCTCTCCTCTAAGACCATGGGGAGTGCATAAAATAGGTGAGGAACAAGCCCTTTAGTGGGCTCTTTCCTCTGGAAAGAATGGGTTTTTTCAAGGTCACTTTCCCAGCATAGACACTGGGCATGCGAAGCCCTGCATCTGAGTCTGGACCCTATACTATGGTTATTTCTTTACCACATCCCCTACCCCTTGTAAGTGTGCACACAAATGCCCATGAGCACATTCACATGGACACCTCGCTGGAAAGTTTAACAAGTCTTCACATCCCTGCAGGAACTGAGAGACAAAAAAACTAAATGCCAAGTAGCCTTGGACGCTAGATTGAGGGCAGTGGAGTTAGCACTTGCATTTGCTCCTGGACATCTCAGTCTACAAAAGTACTGTGATGTCTAGCAAGGGGGAGGTGGTAAATATATGATGGGACCAGCAACTAGATCAAAAGAGCCAGCTGCTAGAAGATTCTTCAGTGACATGGAAAGCATGCAAAGAAGGTAACAAAAAGCATATAAAATATGGTATCACATTTTTAAAAATCCAACAGATGCATATTTATTGACATACAACAAAGACTGTAAGACTATCTCCCAAAATGTCATTATCTAT